GACCACAACGCATCCCTCAAGATCCCTCACTTACCAAGGGGCTCGAAGCCTCCTCCTCCTCCTCGGATGAGGAATCCTCCTCATGAGCCTTGGGAAGATTCATCTCCTCTCCGTAGCATTCCTTGGTAGCCTTGAACACCTCCTTCGACCAGCCGTAGTACAGGTCTTCGCCGAAGCAGTTGGTCATCACCTGGAGAGAAAATGTCCACTCTAAAGTATAGTTCACTACTCACAACTTAAATTATAAAACTGTAACGCGTTGTCTAATTTGATTAATGCATTGGGAATACTTTAAATACAGTTGCCCATTGTGGATTGCCAGATTTGCAGAATACGTTATAAACAATAATATACAGCCATATTCATCCACTAATAAAATCTACGACACGCATTCCCCCAGAGCTTTAAGGTTAAAGACCAACCACGCCGAAGTATGGAAGAAAGCGAAGACATACCTTCGAGTAAGCGTACTTCTTGGCAAATCCATCCCCGGCGAGGGCGGAGCACACCACCGTCAAGAGTACTAGAGCTCGCAGCATCCTGTGAAAATAATGTTATATTTATTAAGGGACATTAAGGGTTATTAAAGGGGGGGGGGTTAGGTTTAGGATGATATGGCTATTTCAGATATATATCATCTTGACATAATGATGATAATGATGATGATGATGATGATAATGATGATGATGATGATGATGATGATGATAATGATCATGCTAATAACAGCCATAACTACTAAATATTAATTAAGATATTGATAATATCAATAAAAATTACGAAAACCATACATTAGTTACAAGTTACGTTTCTCCCGATGTATAAGTCACAACCTTTCCCTCCATAACGATTACAAACAACACCCAAAAAGCACGAAACCACAACCATTAAACACTAATAGATCAATCCCCCAAAACCTTATCAGTAATATATCCAAACCACATGAAATTTCACTCTTTCCTCCTACTTGATTCTGTTCTTACCTGTTAGACGAAACTGATGCCCATCAACCATGCCCACACCTTTATATACATCTTATTTGATATGCTTAGTCATCATAACTCATTTCCCTCCCCCTCCCCTCTCCCTTCCCTCCTTCTTCCTTTCCCCCTTCCCCCTCCCCCTCACTCCCTCTCCCTCTCCCCCCTTCCCCTCCTCTCCCCCTCCCCCCTCCCCCTCCCCCCTTCCTCCTCTCCCCCTCCCCCTCCCCCTCTTTCTTTCCCCAACGCCGATCTTTCTAGAATGACCTTTATGCGATGACTGGCATATGCCTATCGTTATAGGCGATGGGATGTTGTTTGTCTGTTTTTCGATGACGTGAGCGTAATTGTGTGCTTTGTTATTTCTTATTACTTCTTCTTCTTCTTTTTAGCATTCTTCTTCTTCTTCTTAGTAGTAGTAGTAGTAATAGTAGTAGTATTATACAAATTATTATCATTATTATTTTGTTATTATCATCACCATTATTATTATCATTATTATTATTATTATTATTATCATTATTATTATCATTATTGTTATTATTATTATCAGTATCATTATTATCATTGTTAGTACCTTATCATTATCATTATCAACATCATTATTGCTATTCCTATTATTATCATCATCTCCATTATTTTTATTATCATTGGGTTATTACTGTCGTTATTGTCATTGGTATCATTTTTATTATTATTATTATTATTATTATAATCATTGTTATTATTATTTTATTAGTAGTAATATTGTTATTATTGTTATTGTAATTATTGTTATTATTGTTACTGTTATTATTGTTATTATTGCTATTTTTGTTATTATTATTGATATCATTATTATTATTATTATCATTGTTATGATCATTATCACTTTTGTCATAATGATAATGATTATTATTATTATTGTTATTATTTTTGATATTATTATTCTAATAATAATCCTTATTATCATTATTATTACTATTACCATTTGTAAAATTATTATTAATACTACTATTATTATAGTTATCATAGTTATTATTATAGTTGTAATTATTATCATCATTATTAAGTTTACTAATTTTTATTATCACTATTATTGTTATTATCATTATCATCATTATTATTGTCATGGTAATTGCCATTATTATTATCATCATTAATCCTGTCATCACCATTATTTTCATTTTCATTATCATTACCGTTAGAATTATTACTATTTTCTTAATCATTATTAGTATGATCATCAGCGTTATTATCATTATCATTTATTATTATCCTTTTTATCAATTATTATTATTATTATTATTATTATCATTATAATTATTAGTATTGTTATTATCATAGTTATTATTATCACCTTATAGTTATTATTATTAGTAGTAGTAGTAGTATTGTTATCATCATAGTTATTATCATAGTTAATCATCATTATCATCACTACTATGATCATTGTCAGAATCATAAATGTATTCCCATTATCATGATTATTTTCATTATTTACACTGCTTGTTTGTTTCACTCCAATTAAAACAACACTTAAGTGAAACAAATTTTTTTTTTCACTTCTTCAGAGGGGCAAAAACATTTAGGCAGCAGCTTGAGAGAGAAAGAGAGAGAGAGATTGAGAGAGAGAGATTGAGAGAGAGAGAGAGAGAGAGAGGGGGGGGGGGCATAATATCGAATTAGCTAATAGACGATCGTAAAGCTTTTATAAGAATATTGTGTCATGAATGCTGGAGATACAGAAAGACAGGGTATTATCTTATACATAATGCATACATAGTAATATCCACCACATATACATGTAACATAGTACATGGTATTATCCTGCCGTACAGCTATCATTGGTATTTGATATTATTAATTTTATCATTACCACCTCTTTTACCATTACCACCATCATCAAGAGGAAAGTATATGTATGCTCAAAATAGCCATCGGATAGTTAAGCTGTGTGTGTGTGTGTGTGTGTGTGTGTGTGTGTGTGTGTGTGTGTGTGTGTGTGTGTGTGTGTGTGTGTGTGTGTGTGTGTGTTTTGGCAGAGGTACTATATAATGGCAAGAGCGTCTCCAGGAAGAAAAACTTGCAAAATCTCCCCGGCTGGTTTCAGCATCTTTAATACAATCAAAGTGTATCGCTTAATTCTATCTCTAGGGGCTGGTTTCAAACAATCCATGTGTAGAATAATTTATTCACTTGTAAAGGATCTAGATCAACATTCAATGTGGGTTTTATTCAACTTGCAAACAGTAATTCAAAATACTGAAGCAGCAACAAAACAAAATATTTCATAATAACTAAATCATATTAAATCTATTATGGAGATAATTCAATTTTACAACATTATATTTTCTACCAATAGATCAAATCACTTACATCATGGCACCTTGCCCCTGAAAGATGGGTTTCAGCCTCAAATCAAATCTGTCAGTCATCAGGCTGTATAAAAGGAACATAATACCTTTATGATACATAAGCTTATAGCATTTTATACAACAACAATTTTAAAACACAGAGATGATCATTCCTTCACTCAATTTCATAATATATCTACTTTTGTACTAAATCACAGATTTAAACTGTATCAAATTCTTCAGTTTTATCTATAATACCATCACTAATAAAATATATCCATACAATATTCCTACCTGATATTTACACATCAAAATTTGGCTAACTTAATAGATCTATTTTGAAGAGCTGTTCACATGGTCGGTCATTTCCAGCTTATAAACAACGCTTCCAGATAACAAAATAAATTCTTGATGCGCAATATTCTCCAAATCCATACAATGTCTTATCAGAACTTAAACTGTACAAATTTTCCTTTTCATTTCAGTATCACAAAATTACACAAATTAAAACTTGTTTCTTATACAATATCACAACTTAAATTCCAATGTTCTATTAATAATACATATAACTCAATATTATTTTCCATAATAATACACAAAGGATGCTTGGTAAGTTGCATTTTGACCCTAACGAAAGACTGTTCGAGGCACGTGGATTGTTTGATAAGTCTCGATTAATTGCGGTGAACTGATAGTACATTACATGGTAGCAATGGCATGATTCATATAATTATTTTAGATTTGTATATATTACAGTGATAATCATTCATCGTCTCAGAAAAAAGACAAATGTTATCTTTATCAAAAGTTATCATTTGTTTTCACTAATGGTAGAATACAAATACAAATAATTTTTCAACAATTTATTATCCTCAGACTATCTTATCGAATTGGTATAATAACATAATAACCAATAAAGAGAAGGAAGGAAAGAATATCATTTCTTCCTTATCCTTCTGTTTTCTTCCAATTACACCCTTTCATCTTCCTCTCTCTCTCCTTCTTCTTTTTTTTTAAATCCTCTCTTCCTATCACATTTCTCTTCCACTCCTCCTCCTTTTACCTCCCTCCCTTTTCCTCTTGACTTCACTCCCATCCTCAATACAGCTGGAAATCATCCTTGTTATCAAAGCCCCACAGGAGATGCAGCAGCTTCTCGGCCTTCTCCCCCTCGCTTGCCTCTCCAGCCTCACTGAAGTCGGAGAGGTCGAACTCGGCGAGGTGCTTCTGGAGGTCGAGCTTCATGCAAGCCTTCAGCCGCGCCTTTTTCTCGCACTTCGCAAAGACGACGATCTCCTGGAGTTTCTTGGGCATTGGGGAACCTGAGTCCTCGAGGGGCAAGCATTTCTGAGAGCGGCAGGAATATAGAAATATGTAATTAGATACGTAAATAGGATTATTTTTTTCACCTACACATAAGCTTAATCACAAATTAATTAGAGCACGCACACGTGTGCAAGATTATATGCACATCTGCTTTGATGCCTTTCATGCAACCCTTCATTTATTTTGCTTTCGGAGAAAGAGAAAGAGAGAGAGAGAGAGAGTGAGAGAGAGAGAGAGAGAGAGAGAGACAGAGACAGAGACAGAGACAGACAGACAAACAGAGAGACGGAAAGATACGCAGAGTCATACAAACAGACATAGACAGACAGAAAGATACACAGAGTCATACAAACAGATATAGACAGACAGAAAGATAGATAAACAGATAGGCAGAGAGAGAGACAGATCGACAGATAAATAGATAGATGGACAGAAATAAATAGATTAATAGACAAATGGGCCCACAGACCGACATTAGATAGACAGAGAAACATATATCTAAAGCATATAGAGAGGACTTACCGTGAATTTCTTGCAGTGATTAATAGTCTTGACAAGTTCATTTTTCATTGCGTCATCAACAGGGATTTCCTTCCTGACTTTAATCATCTCTTCATAATCAAGGTTGAACTCGTCATCCACCTAGACAGATGATTGATTGATTTTGAATGTGAAAATAATTGTGTACATAGTTATAAACAGTTTCATCTATAATTTTTGTGTAGTTACTTTTGGCTACTTTTTAAAATCTACAAAGGGTAAATTTTTTTGTTCTATTAATAATTTTTGATAATTCTTATTTGACGTCGTGATATAAGTGATAAACTTATCATAATTCGACCAAGAATTCGCATATGATTGATATATAACTGCTATAAATAGTCTGACTAGTTTTGGTCATGATCTTAATAAATTCCCCATTTAAATTCCCTTTTGCAAGGATAGTAATGCAAGTTGATATACCCATACATACCATTTTCATTTTCTTCAAGACGCAGGTGAAGTTGCTCACCTTGGCTTTCACTTTCTCTATCATTTTCTTCAACAACGGGCCATCATACATTACTTCACGCTTCTAAAAAAATATTATAAGATTTGAATATCAATCAATTAATTATTATAAGATTTGAATATCAATCAATTAATTATTATAAGATTTGAATATCAATCAATTAATTATTATAAGATTTGAATATCAATCAATTAATTATTATAAGATTTGAATATCAATCAATCAATTATTATAAGATTTGAATATCAATCAATTAATTATTATAAGATTTGAATATCAATCAATTAATTATTATAGGATTTGAATATCAATCAATTAATTATAATAAGATTTGAATATCAATCAATTAATTATTATAAGATTTGAATATCAATCAATTAATTATTATAAGATTTGAATATCAATCACGCTATAAACTGAATGTGAAAATGTGTACATGTCTTCACTTCAGAGTCATGTTACGTTATACCAAAGACACCTTCCTTCACGTACCTGTCTTTGGCTAATGGCTTTGAAGGGGAGATTGAAGGGGAATTTCCGGTCTTGGTCTCCGTCTTGTTCTTGGGGTGAAAAGAACACTTGCAAGAACATGGGACTCCCACTGAACGCTTCTTTACTCTGGAGAACGGATTTTAATTGAGGACAAATAAGGATATTTCGACATTTCTCCAAGAGGTTTCATTCATCGTTTTCGTTATTTTCGTTCATATCAACTAACACAGACATATAGAAAGACACACACATACACACACACACACACACACACACACACACACACACACACACACACACACATACACACATACGCATGTCCGCACACAAACACACACACACACACACACACACACACACACACACACACACACACACACACACACACACGCATATCCAAACCCAAATCTACAAACACCCAAACACACGCACATAAACCCACAAACATAGACACACACACACAAACCAAAACTCACAAGCACCTAAGCACACTCAGACACAAACCCACAAACAAACACACACACAACATGATACTCAAAACAGACAAACAAACAAACACCAACCTCTTCCTCAGAACTTTCCCCAGATTCGTCTTTCTCTGGTAAGTTAATCTCTGCGTTATAACATTGCTTCACTGCCTGGAACACTTCTTTGGTCCAATTGTAATATTTTTCCTCACCAAAGCAATTAGTCATCACCTGAAAAAAAAATGTAATGTTAAATGAACATGCTTATCCATTAGTTTGTCTATTCGATATTCTTTTTATTTATCTATTAATGTGTTTTTTAATACAATTATTTCATCTGTTTATCTATCTTGATCTATACCTTTGTACCACATTTCATTCTCAGCATCACTACCTCGGTATTTTACGATAGTCATTATTTTCACCAAATGATCTATACAATTCTTAAAATCTGATTCTTCCTCAGAGTTCTTACACCATGATATACCTTAATAAAGTTAAAACAAAGGAATAAGTTTAAGCATACCTTCGTGTAGGCATATTTCTCGGCGAAGCTATCGTGGGCCAAGGAGCTGTACACCACAGCCAAGAGAACAGTAGCTCGTAACATCCTACTGAGAGAATCTTGTGATTATTGGTTGATTTTGTTAACTGATAATATTGCTTAGGTTAGATCTCAACAGGTTTGGTGACTCATTTGTGTCTGTCCATCCATCTATATGTCTAAATCTATCTGTCTTTCGATATATGTCCGTATATATCTATCTACTTTTCGATATATATCTGTCTATATCTATCTATCTTTCGATATCTATATTTTCCTATATCTATCCATGTTCATCTATCTATCTATCTATATAATTTTGTATATCTACCTATCTTTCTATATCTATCTATTTGTCTATATGCATCCATGGCCATTTCCTATATCTATCTATTTGTCTATATGTATTCATGGCCATTTCCTATATCTATTTATCACTTTTGTCCTACATATATCTATATCCATCTATTAATCCATAAATCAATCTATCATCTCTCTATTTTTCTATCCATCTATCCATCTACCTACATACTAATCTACCTATCAACATACACATACACATTTCACAGTCCATAAATTCCAAGACTGATGCATTTCTTACCTTGAGAGACGAGAGACGTGTGATTTCCAGTTTCTTATAACCCTCTTATATATATGCAGGTCGTATATGATCCTACAAGTCATCGTATCCCCCCCCCCCCACCCCTCCCCCCCCAACCTCCCACTTCCCACCTCAAGCACAAAGGAACTGAAGATGTTGCTAATAACGAAATGCAAGTTACCTTGACATTAACCTTTTTTTCATATTTCTCTTTACTTTTCTGTTTTTTAGTTTGTTTTCAATGTCATTATCATTTACTTTTGTTATATTTTTAAGAAGCGTATCGTCACTTGTTTTTCTGCCACTTTACATATGCTTATATTATCAGCATATGAGGTATTATGTACGATGCAAATACAATTTCAAACTCCATGCACGCGAAACTTGCTTTCAACTTTCAAAATTGGTTTCAGGTGTCTAATTGGCATCCTGACACCACACTACCAAATAACGCTTTCAGATTCCCTGCACACACACACACACACACACACACACACACACACACACACACACACACACACACACACACACACACACACACACACACACACACACACACACACACACACACACACACACAAACACACACTCATATATACACACACAAACACACACAAACACACACACACACAC